AAATCACAAAACCCACAACCAACCAAACCCCTTTCAAATCTTTATCCTCATTTAAAAAGGCACAGCTAAGGAGACAGAAGGCTGTGGCATTATCCAAAAAAAGCACTGGTTATTTCCGAGAGCAGAGGGTGCCCCCTGTGATCCACAGCAAACTTTTTCTTAGGCACCAGCATAAATTCAAACAGGTCAACTCAGGCAGAAATTACCCTGGTGAGTCTTGGAAAGTAGTAATGAAACTAATGTAATTGTGATTCCTTATTCAGAATTACATTAGAAGCTGAAAAACTGCAAAATTACCTTGCTGGTGCCAGGATAAAAATCTTTATTAAGGACATCTGTGAACCCTAGGGTAGACTTTTTTTTTCCTAGGGTCCATAGGAAATGCAAATGCTTGCCTTTCTTTTGAACTTCTCTCCCCCTAAGGGTGGATTTTAATTCTTCTGCCATGTCTCCAATATATTTACAATATATTACACAATTTATTTTTAGCACAATCAATGTGCTAAAATAAAATTATAGGAATTAATTAATTTATACCTCCCAAGGCCAGCAAGACAATACCACTTACTAGTGCCAGATTACTTCACAAACTGCCTTCTGTCTGCTAAAATAGTGGAAGTTAATAATTTGAGTTTAATTCCAGTTTTGATTAGCCTTAAAGCTCCACAAAAAGTCATCAAGTTTCATCCACATGCACACGAGCCCTGGGAAAATGAGTGTTCCTTCTTCCCCACCTGCACTCTTTGAAGAGAACACTCCCCATGAATTGATAGGAAAGAGCATTCCACAAAGGAAATCAAATGGTGAAATAGTACAAAAATGTTTTCAAGATATGAGTAAAATAACCATTATGGTACAGGGCAAATTCATGTGATGGAAGTGGGCAAGTGATGTGCTATGAGAGACTGGGGAAATCTTAATGCCTACGTCAAAACTTGCACAGCAACACTTCTGCTTTTAAATTTAAGCTGTTAAAGAGTGAACCCATCTGATAGGTACATTGAACATGAATTACTTTCTGCTACTTGAAGTACTTGAAGTCTTACTATATAGTCTAGAACGGTATGGTATTTATCAGTTCCAAACTGCAGGGGTTGTAACGATGTTGATTTCTGACAAGTCAAATGGCAATTCCAAATTGTTAAAAGTAGCGAATAAGGTTATCTGTAATTTCTCAGGAGAACACATACTGCCACCATCTTTAACATAAAAACACAGTCCTTCAAAGACACGTGGCTATTGGTTCTAACAAGTACACATACATCCATTCTATGCTTTTCTAACTTGGATGCAGATCACACCCAGGCATGAACTCTCTCCGAGTTTTCTGCTCCGCAGCACATACTATGCCCCCTCCAATAGTAACAATAAAGAAAAATTACATGCCCATTAAAAAAATAACATAATCAGACTGTAAGGACAGACATCTAAAGAACGTTTATAGTCACTCCTGAAAAGCAGTAGAGCTCAAAGTTCAGAAGCAGATAAGATATAAGAAATAAAGTCATGTTTTTGATTAAAAATTACTTCTATCTTTATCATAGTGTAGCACGTAACAGGCCGGAAAAAACTGTCAGTTCATTTTGTCATGAAAATGGACATGCATTTATTTAATTCACCTCCATCATCTCTCAGGTAGCTGTGTCTCCCAGGTTTAAAGACCAAAACCAACACTAAAACCAGAAAGTCGATCCATCTCCTATTTACAAGTGAGATGTGCCTTACTAGTGGGTAAAAAGAGTCTTATTGAGCTATACATTATGTTTTTGTTTTTCTTTTTTTTTTTTTTAATACTGTCAGTCAATAGAAATATGAAACTATAAAATAATCATTTAAACATTTTACAACCCTGAGCTCAAGTCCCAAGAGTGAAAAAAGTTTGACATTAGTGTTCTTGAGTGCCTCACTGCAAGTTGCATATTGTTTTATCACATTCTCAAAGGCACATTACCTACATACTCTGCCAGTAATAATCAAACCAAAAAGTGTCAACACAAGACTATCTCTGCACGAATAGAAACAGCCCTGCACGACAGCATCTCTCTCAAACTCCTACAAAAGTGGTACTCGACCCCACTGATGGTCACACCATTGGTCATTATAATGCAAAGGAACAGGCAACAAATTAAATGTATTATAAAAATACTAAACTTTTCAGCTCAGAGGTAAACGTGGTCTGTCACTTACTTGGTTAAAACAGACTAAAGCTGTCAAAGGGAAGCACTATCCCCTGAGCTCTACCTCCTCCTTCCTTCAATAAAGTGAAAATAGCCACTACATGCTCAAAAGACACAACAGAGCAAAGACAAAAACATCCAGATGGGCTGGACTGTTGGATGTGAACTAATTTCCCAGCGATAAACCCCTAAATTCGGCTTAAAGGACTCTTCCAGAGGTCCATAATTTAAGATTTGGTTGGAAATACAAGGTGGGCGACAGTAACTTTTGATGCGAGCAGCAATATAAATTAGGCCATCGAAGAAGTATCTGAGCTGTGGTAAATAGGAGAGGCAATAATTCAGGCAGGCATGACAATACAAAACAAATAATCACCACACCTTCATCCAGGAAGATAAGTTAGTCTGAGATAACGAACAAACAAGCTCACACAGCTAATGCCTTTAGTAAGGATAAGGCACTGTCCGGTGGACTACCAGTTTAAACTTCTCCAGAAAAGATGCTGTCCTTTAAACTGCTCGTCTTCGAATGCCGACCTCCCCGATTGTGGTTAATTCTGATGAATTTCCCCCCTTAAAAGCGCAATGTTAAAAATTCAGTAAAACTTTGCTATAGGCTGTTGGGGGAGGATTAACTAATTTAGTCTCACTTTCCAGAAACATTCAAACCAAATCCAAAGTTAGTATAATTTGTCTTTGCTCTTCTTGAAGGAAGCATTTTGGCAAGGCAAACCAACCCTTTAACTTACTAAATACAGTGAAGCAGACACAAAACATTCTGCTTAGTCAACATAAGCAAAAGGTAGTAAACACACCTGAATGCATTCCCTAGCGTGGTGCAAACTCCCTGGAAGACTTGCATGCCAATGCAAATTCATTAAGCAGAAGTGAGAAGCCACAGCAAATCTCAACTTTGAATTTCCTGCCTTTTGTAAGGCCCATTTTCCTTTTCTTGCTGAAATACCTACTTCATGAGATATCGCACTGCAGCACTTTTAGACCAGTATGTCAGCTTTCCATTCGTTTGTCCCAGGTAATGAGGAGAATCTGTTGACATCATGTCACATTATGACAGACTGTTAAGCGGGTTAGATAGTTTAAATCTTCTGCCACAGAAAGGAAGTTTGTAAGTCTTGGAAGGAAAAAAATACAATGTGTATCATTGCTATGAACTAAATGATAGAAAAAAACTGTCCCAGATTTTAGAATTCTGAATAGCAGCCTAATACTGTAAATTTATTGAGAAGAAAATCATTTTGCAAAACTGGAATACAATTGATTTACCAAGATATTTTTTTTTTTTAGCATTTAAAAATCATTTAATAACAGGCCTGACCATAAAATAGTGGCACAACAGAAATGTAGGTTGCAAATGTGATGTGGAATGCATAGAACCTCCGGGGCGGACCAGCCACAGTAAATACAACAGTCATAATCATGAGTGTAAATTCACTTTCATAACTGGCTTTCTCTTCTAGAAGGTAAGAGGGTGTATATAAATATTATAGAGAAAACATTTTAAAAAACATTGTTTTATTTTTCAGAAATGCTGGAAGGGGTTTCAGCTCAGTCAAAAATGAGTAGGTTTGTTGGGCCAAAATTGCCCTTTCTGGTTCCTAAAGTTTCCTATGCTTGTTACGAAAAAACCCAACATTCATGATTAGGTGGTAGAAAACGGTGAAAAACATCAACCAAGGAGCTAATTCTCAACAGACAGAGGACATGGTGTTTCAAAACACAGTGCTTAACAGCATTAACCTTGAGGAAGTAATGCTAAGAAGAATTTCCACCATTTCTGCTATCTTGAAAAAAAAACATTAATCCCATTAGCCACAAAACCCCAGTTTATTACCAAGCAGAACGGTAAGTCCGACATCTGCCTATGAGGATCTCTGGATGTATAATTTGGTGGGATTTAATTTAAGAAGCAGCGCAGAAGAGTAGGAATTTTAAGGAAAAGAGGACTTACAGTACATTGCCATGGGCCTCTGTCTTCATCGAAGGTGACAACAAGATCCTAGATTGCATAATGCTGCTATATTTAGTTTTAGTTGAAGAGAAATACAAACCTGAAAAAATAACAGCTACTCACTGGTTAAAACAGATACATTTGGCATTCCAGCCCACCATCCTGCACTAACTTGTCATTTCCCCCTCATTGCCTCCCAGGATTATGAAACAGTGACATGCCTACAATTCAAAGTTTCCTATCCTACAACTGTAAAACTTAGATTTGCCAAAAGTATGACTACGACCCCTAGAAATCATCCCATAATTTTATGCACATTACATTTACGGGATGGAGCTTCACATGGTACGTACAGTGCTATCAGCATTCTCTTAAACAATGCAACTGAAACACCATTGTCTCATTTGAACTTCTCTTCTCACTCTTACAATCAACCAGTCAGAAACACCACATTTATGATCTCACTTGATTCCCCTCTCCTAACAACTCCAGGAATTCCAAAAAGCATTCTGAAGAGCAGCATTTGATATGATCCCCAACTTAAAATCATACCATGAAAAGCCATTAAAACCGGCTCTCCTACGTAAAAAGACACTTGGCTGACTTGAGATACTTGATTTCCTCTCTGCTGTCGATCTCTCATCCTCTTGTGACTCTCTGTTCCCAAACTAGTGGGTACCTCCGTGTAAGGGGCTCCTTTTCTAACCCATCTCATACCTCACTCCAACTGAACTAAAGAAAACCCATGGAGCAGGAAAGCAGGAATATGGTATCCCAACGTCCTTGTCCAAAAAGCTTAAGAGAAACTTAAGGTTAAAAAAAAAAAAAAAAGAAAAAAAAAAAAGCCTTACTAAAATAAATTACGTAAAGTTCTGAAAACAACATCACTTTTGAGGCAACCTTTCCAGAGACCTCTTGGGTTCCTTTCTTCTCTGAAGCACCTTTTAAGTTGTATGGTTGTAAGAATAACTTTAACTATAGAAGCTATATGCATCTTTTAAGAATCACATTTTGATGATTATAAAAATTTATCTATTATACAACATAGGTCCAGCTACACTGAAAAAATTACACCGCTTATTGAAATACATTTCATTTTAGAAACAGACTACTAAATAGGTCTATACAAAAAACTCTAAAATAATTTCTGTAGTAAAATAAAGAGTGTGTTAGGAGAGCTACACAAACAAGAAATTTTTTTGTCTTTCTTTATAATGCTCAAATATACTGTGATACGTGGCTGGCTCACTCCATAGCCGGCACCATAAGCTGAAAAGAATCCATTACGATACACAGTGATACAATTAATGCTCTGTATTAATCTCACAGCCTTTCCGATTAGTACAAAGAAAACCAGGCCTATCTCCTCTTTGAGGAGAAGTCCAGGATATAAAAGCAAGCATACCTCATCAGCTGATATGAAATTATAAAATTCCACAAGTCTCAGTATCTGAAATTTATAAAAGTCACCAGTAAAACGCAAGCAAATTGGGTTTAAGTCCTGTTGGTTCCCAGGTTCAAATGAGCACTGCTGATCCGAAACAGGATTTCCTTGTTTGTTAACTGATTCAAAGGAAAAATTAGGACCATCTGCTGGGGCTAGGAGAAAGACAAAGATCCTCACCAACTAACCCTCTGTACTTCCACGAGGGCATGTTTCCATGTGCATAAAACGGGAAAATAGCTGGCGGGAAGCAAAGACGTTAGTGGTGCTGTGCTGAACTGTTTTTTTCTGCCAGGTGTCGCAGGAAGTTGTCCTCACTCTGGCCTCTGTGATTTAAAGGCTCGCTCTTAAAAAGAGCCGGAGGAGGGGGTAAATGAGGAACCGGGGGGATGGGGAGATGATGCGGATGGTGAGGATGAGGGTGTAGGTGAAGGTGTGAATACGGGTGGGGAATGGGGCGCGGAGGAAGCGTGCTCACTGGGTTCAGGTTGATAGGTGGAGTCGGGGTGGTGGGTGTGTTCACTACAGCAGGGACTGTGGTGGCAGGAGAAGTCGTGGACAGCGGGATCTGGACAGCAGTTGACACGTTGGCGGGGCTGGTAACACGGAAGCACTTCTCCTTGTGTGCCTTGAGCATGTTGGAGAAGCGAAATCGCTGGCCACACACATCACATGGGTAGGGCTTCTCCCCTGTGTGAGTTCTGCGATGTCTCTTCATGTTTGGGCGGCTGGTGAAGCTTTTCCCACAGATTTCACAGATAAAGGGCTTCTCTCCTGCCGAACGCAGATACGGCAATCAGTTAGGCACAGAACATCTGCTAATACCTACTTCAGCATACTTATGCAAACAAACTGCATCCTACCAAAGCTACTGTGACTGCTACCTTCAGCAATTAGAGACAGCTGTTCCACAGAAGTCCTCAGTCTTTATGAAATCCTCTCTCACCTTTGGATTTTGATGCACGAGACAATCTTTTATAAGGCTTTGGCAAAGGGTTCCTTCACACTAAAGTAACAAGGAAGTAAGCCTAACCTCTCATTTCCCCCCCGCAGTGAATCACAGGACTACAGACAGTCAGATTTAACAGTGAGGTAATGTATTAACCTTACCCAACCTAAAAAATCAGGCAGGAAACAGTTTTGATCCCAAATTCCAAGGGAGGGAATACAGCTACAAGTATATGAAAGTTTTTGTCCTGGAAGTACTTGCGCTTTTCTTTGATAAGTTCTTACCAGTGTGTGTTTTCATGTGCTCATCAAAGTACTGTTTCATGTTGAAGTCTTTGCCACACCACTGGCACATGAACTGTTTGTGCCCAATGTGGATGCTCATGTGGGAACGCAGCTGGTACTTGTACTGAAACCTCTCATCACAGTTCTGCAACAGAAGAACAGCAACCCATGATATGCACGTCAGGAAGCAAGGCAGTCCTGGGACAGCACTCAAGTGTACTATGTGAAGGAGTAAAGAATACCTGAACTAGTACACACACAGAATCCCACAGAAATACAGAATTTAAATTATTTAGCCAGAGCAGAATCTGGTCTGTACTAAAAGGTCTGCTGGCACAGGAGCCTTGGCAAGGAGCGTGGAACAGTCACAACCTTCAGTTGACACAGCTGTTGGCAAAAGCCCGGCAGAGACAAGGTTATGCCAACAGAACAGCGCTTCTGTTGGCTTATAGTATCATTCGGAGGTTTTGCAGCTTTGCCAGCGCTCTCTGCTGGACTACAGCATGCCTCCACTAGAGGACTCTGCTCACACAGCAAAACCAGCAGCACCTCTGTACGGCAGGCTTGTTTTCCAGCAAGCCAGTCTGTTTTCCAGCTATTATTTATTGGTACGAGGTAATTTCTTCCCCTACGAGTTTCATCCCTCAGACTACTCTGGCTGCACTACTGCCGTTACTCCTACGTGTCCGGCTGGAGCTGTGCCCCACTTCGTGCACAAGGTGAGCCACCAGACCTGCCCTGGGAACAGAGCTCTGTACCCCCTCTGCCTCCACCATGTGATACCCACAGGCATCCCCATCAGGTGACTGGGACATTATCTGCCCCAGACATATGACCGGGTAAGTCTGTCCCATACCGTCTCCTTCCCAAGGGCAGGCATGAAATTACAATCGCAAACACATGTGAATGCATCAGTGAGATGCTCTTCCCCATCCCGACACACACACTCAGTTTAAGAAATGCAAATTCAGAGCACTGTCTTAGATCTCAAGCAGGTGACAGTTTGCGGTGAGGACAATAGTGAAAATCAAGCAGTAATTTGTTTATTTTCACTGTCACCACTTCTAGCTGTTTCAAGTTACTAGGCAGGACAGGGAGGATTAACGTAATTTGCATCAGGCTTTGCTATGAACACTGAGGGGAAACTAGGATTCAAATCCTGCTGTAGTGTGTACTCAGAAGGAAAAAAAGAAAAAAAGAAAGACAGCCAGCAGTAAAAGCAAATCAAATACTTCTTCGTTTGAACTGCTGCTGGATGCACTCCTGCTGTGCTCTCCACACGGAGAATTTTCCCCAAATTTTTATGAAACTGCACCTCATTTACAAGTCAGCCAATTCAGTTTCCACCTACATTCCCTACTGACAATGCGACTAATTTTATACTTTATGCTACTGTATCTAAACTTATTAACAGTTGCTGCCTCACCTCACATCTGAAAGGTTTCTCTCCAGAATGCTGTAGGGAATGTACTTTGAGAGACATACTGCGTTTGAATGATTTTCCACAGGTTTCACATGTAAATGGCATGTCCTTTGTGTGTGCTGCAACACAACAGTACGTTAGAGAAGGTCAGTCAAATGCAAACAGTTCTTTAACCAATTTTTTCCACCATCTCTTGAGCAGGAAAATGATTACTACTGAACAGCAAAATGATTACTACCGAACAGCATATACACATAGGTACACACATACATATTTTGCTCGCTGCCCAGTACTAGACTTGAACTTTTTGCTATGGATAAAGCTCAGACAACTGAATTTGCCTTATTATTTTTCTCCTTGATATTTTTCTCCTCAAAACGGCAATTACGAGTTAAGAACCACAAAGCCACATTAAGAGGCAGAACCAACAGAAGCGCCGATCAATAACTCACCAACCATATGTTTCCGCACGTGGGCCATGGTGTAGAACTTTTTTTCGCAAATCTCACAAGAGAATTTCTTTTCTGCATATCCGTGGACAATCTTGATATGTTCATGGAGGGACCAGAGCTTCTTGAATGATTTATTACAGGAAACGCACTGAATGAATGGGATAAATAGAAGGAAGTTTAAATTAGAAAGATTCAGTGATTCAAGTTTGTGGAGTTAAGCCACATATCTTAATCTTGCATGACAAAAAGAAGCCCAGAACAAGTCAAAATGCTGTATACTGTCTCAGACTGCAGTTCAGCTTACATTTACTGTTTCACAGATGAAATAATTACACTAAGAAAACCCAAATCAAGCAGGATTAGAGAGGATGTTCACACACTGCATTTTGGTGCCACCTGAAGAGCACCGCAGCCACTGCACCAATGTATTTCCAACACAACACAACAGCGTATACAGCTAGATGCAGCCCTCAAGGAGCTAACACAGAGAAGACAACTTCACAGGCACTGATGCTGCTCGTGTGGGAAGAATCCAAAGCCCTGGTGTGGGAAGATGCCAACAGGTGGAGGAGGCCAACACCACCAAGTTGCCTTAAACCCATCTGCACGTCCAGCCCTGGCTTTCACAGGAGCACTGCGACCCCTCAAACTCCAGGTCTAACAGCCCATGAACTAGTCAAAACTCTCTCATCCTTTTAGATCAACACAGAAGATAGCTTCCACCTCGCAGCTCTCGACCACGTGGACAGTCTTGTACACAGCTCGTACAGCAAAGCAAGTTGTCACCTCCATCTTTCATGTCCTGACTCTTCACTTATACATATCAGTAGCACTCTAGGTCTAAAATGACCAAATGCAAACAATATTTTACTCTCTTCCCACAAGTACTGTGAAGTGTCCAGAAAGTCAGCGACGAGCTGGATCCACAGGCTTTCATGCATCTCTTTTTTCGCCAGTAGTTAGTTGTTGCTAAAGACTTGATAAAAAAATCCTCATACAATTTTAAAAATTCCAGAATAATCTTTGTTGTGAAACTTGATAGCAGACACAGATGTGAGGACACCAAGTCATGTTCATCTTTGAATTGACGAGGAAGGAATTGTAGCTTGTTCTTTTTTGTTAGCTGTTGGGGTTTTTGGTACATCTCCATTTTTCTGCCTATCAATTACCCTCCTTCCCTCAAAGTAAGAAGGGCTGTATGCTGTTCACTGCAGAACTAGCAAATACTAGGTCTTCTGTCAAGTTAAATTGTTTCTTCTCTGTACAGGCAAGGTACACTGCTTCCACAGTGCTTGAATCTCTGCAGGCTTGGAAACTCCGGTACGCTGCTCACCACGCCGACTCCAAGGAGAGCCTCTGCCTCTAAAACCACCTACTTGGAGGCATGTCAGGAACAAACTGTAGTCTTTGGGGTAAAAAAAACCCACCACCAAACCTAGAGAATAAAGCAATGCTAAGAAATGATCAAAATTCCTTTGATTTAAAATTAAGCAAGCCCTTGAAGCAGTCAGTCTACAATTCAATTGACGATCAACAGCAAGTTATTTAAATCACTAATACTGAAAGCTACTACACAGAGTCTAAGATGACAACAGAAATTCTGTGAAAGTGCTAATTTTGAAATGATGAAAGCCAGAAATTACCTGGAAAAACAGATATATTGCATCACTTAGATGAAAAATATAGAGAGGAGTCAGCCATGTTTATCTGTTCAATTACCACTTATATAATAAAACCATTTTTTTTCCCCCTAGACAAAGCTCCGTATCCCTCTTGACATATTAAACCCTACATTAATGTAAAACTTTTGTATCCCCTTACTTCTTTTGCCAAGTGTAATAAAAACAAATTAGCAGGCAGCTGCGAAACACATTCCAAATGTCAGGACAGACAAAAGTAATGCTTGAATATATGCTTATACCGAGAACTTGAAGATGACTAGCGGTGCTTCTGGCACTAGAAATATTTGGGAAAGTTTCTGGACCTGATTCTCCTGGTACTGGATATAAGACACCATTTCTACAATTTCTTCTTTTCCTATCACTTCTGGACATAGGAATGTAACCCCTCAGAAGTATACGGGTGCGTGGATTACGGGATGCTTCTCCATTCTACGCCATACACAAACTATTCATGAATTCCTGTTTAAAGTCAAAAGATTTTATGCTGTGAATGAACCACCTGGCTGATAGGGCATTCCTTAAATTTACATTTAAATGCTCTCTGCTACACTAAACTTTTGAAGTATTTCAAAAACTGCAAGGACATACTGAAATGTTTATGCATTTTACTAACTATGCTCAAGGCTCATTATCTTATATTATACTCCTTCCTTCAGTCTTCCTCCTATGAGCTGAAACATAAGGAAAAATAGCATAGTGTTATACAGAGCTGCATTCGAGTCTTACAGCAAAGAGAAATTGCAATAAATATTTCAACTGTCTCCCACACAGTGGGAACTGAATACCAATTCAGTTTAGCATTTAAGCAAACAAACAAACAAAACAATCTTAAATCCTTCTGGTAGAACTCACTGGACAGGCAAAAAACTTGTTGCCCTACAAAATCTCAATATTTCGGCTCCGCAGAAATTGAACTCAAGCTGCTTCATGCTGGCAGTGGGATTATTTCAGAAGTAGGTGGCAACACTGTGCTCAGTTTAACAAGGCAAAAAAAGCACGTTTGAATCGCCAGATAAAACAACAGTGCCCCCAGTTACATGAGAACATAGATGCCTATGAGCAAAGTACAAACCACAGATGAATCAGAAACTCTGAAACTCTTTCCACAACTTAAACTTTAAAATGGTTTTATTACAACACAGGCTTCCATTGTTGTATGAAATTAAAAGCTGCAAATCTTCTGGTGAGAAAGACCAGAGATCTTTATATTATCAGTGAGAATTACTGAGCTTCTTTCTGCACTGGGAAAAGAGCAGGCTCACGAACAGATTTACTTGAGTTCATACTTCTCCATATGCATACATGAACACTACTGTAAATTACTTGTATATAATTATCTCGGTAGGATTTTAAAAAGTTACATTCTAATACAAGTTCAAATCCTGACTTTGCTAGTTTCTTTCTCACCTGCTTGCCTCTCCGGTATTTCACAAATTTCCGATTCCAATACCAGCAAACTGCCATCATTCCGTTCGCCCTTGAAACCTTACCTGGACATACTCTGTGACTGAGTTTCAGGACACTGAAACACTTTGAGCTTTAAAGCTAGTGATAGCGGCAGGTGCTCAGCACCTGAAGAAGGAGGGTTTATCCTGTCAAGTACTTCACTGCAAACGCGCTTGTTTTCAGGCCAGTTACTCTTGAGTCTGACATTTGTTAAAGTAGCTTTGCGTTTTCCCCAGCTCGTAGTTAAATACTAGAGTAACTCTGCTAAAGCAGATGTCAGTTGTACACTCTGTTCCCTGCAATGCACTTCTTTTGGAAGACACCAAAGTGTTGATATGTAGAGACAAGGTCTCGGTCAGAACCTGGTCTGCGCAAAAGATTTCCCCCTCTGAAGTGTCCACTAGCTGTATCCAGGGCACGACAGAAGGTATGGAAATCTGGCAAGCAGGTGAGCAAACCTACCTGGATATTTTTTTCACAGTCTGTTTGCTGGTGAAGGGACAGCTCACTTTCTAGAACAAATTTCTTCCCACATTTGTCGCAGATCTGCATGCGCCTGTGAGTGACGTTCATGTGCTTCTCCAGGTACCAGCGTGTGTTAAACACCCTGGGGCACTTCTCACAGGTTAAAGTCTCCTTCTCTTCACACTTTGATTTCTGCACAGGTGCCTTGGGCTCCTTTGCAGCTTTCTTCTTACGCTTGGGGGGCTCCACCCTCTTTCTACGACCCCTTGTAGTTCTGGGTGATGGGGAAGTTGTGGCTGCTGCAGCAGATGCAGCTCTCCTTGTTCTCCTTTGTGCAACACTAACTTTTTCCACTCTTTTCTCTTTTTTCTTCTGCCTCTCATTTTCCTCATAATCATTACTGTCTTCAGTGGCCTCTTCCCCACTGTCACCCTCCTCTTCCTCACTGCTGGTCTTAAGAACAGCAGTCTCTTTGGACTGGGAGGGGACACCCTTCTCCCCTTTTGATACATTTAATGTTTGGTTGTTAAGGTTTACCTCTACTATAATCTGCTCCCTTTTGTAAGTCACTTCATCTTCCTCCTCTTCTTCCTCCTCAGAGTCGTCAGAGTTTTCTCTATCTTCTTTCACAGCCCGGACCTCTCCTACCGATCTGTTCTCCCTGAAATATGGCTGCTCCTCTCTTTCATGGAGATGCGGTTTACTCATTTTGCTGTCCACCAACACAGAGTAAGGACTTCCTGACTCTCTCTTGTATACTTTGGTGGACAGATCGAGTTCCTGGCTGGCACCATGATAGAACGTGGGTGGCACTTGACCACGGCGACTGTCCTCTTGCGCCATCCCTGCTACATGCACGGCACAATTTTCAACCAACTGTTGGCAAGAATTGGCTGTTTGACTCATTTGGGGGGCCCTGATTCATTGAGCACCTTTAATCCCAGAAAACCAAGTAAGCAGCTTTAAATCAGGATGGACTCTCAAGACCGATGCCTGTTCCATCTACACAGAACGAGCGAAATATGATTCTCTGCTGGTGTTTAGCACTGATGTGTAGGTCACAGAATTCTGGTATTATGGCAAGAGCAGAGCAGTAGTAATTATTCTTCTGGAGAAAGTTGCCAACGAACCGTTGAACATTTTATCTATAAAAAACAACAGAGAAAACAAAGTCAATTAAAAAAGTCCCCCACACTAAGATTGTCATCAAATTCTTTTGTTTTGAGTTTGTACAACTGGGATAAAGCACAGGGTATATTATCCATGAACTCTATCTGCTGGAGTGGACTGTCCTATAGCATCGTCTCAAGCAAAACTGGCAGTTAGGTACAAGTATGGGCACCTTTTGTGGGGATCAGAACTGGCACTAGATTCCTGAGACATGGAAATCAAGGCAATGAATATTCTCCGCCTGCCAAAGATCACCGCCACCTGCCTCAGTGCTGGACCAAGATGCCAGCATGCATTTCTGCTGGAGTCTTGGGAGCACTGATGGCCCCAAAACTCTGCTCTACTCCCGTACGCCTCTGCATTGCACAAGGCGCATACCTACACGGAAATACCTCCTCCTTCTGTATCTCCCAAAGGGAGCCCATCCTTACCCAGAAAGAGGACATATTATACTGAACAACGTTCCATTAATGTAGATATGCATGAAGAATTTCAATGGAGACATTTTTGACTTGCAGCATTAAATCAGATTAAGAACACCGTGTCCCCTGCTTGTTTCCACCTCAGAGATCGCTCACACAGCCTCTTGATTTAAGGCACTTATTCTTTTGTCTCATTCTCCCTTCCCCCAGCTACTTATTCCTTGATACAGTAGCCACACAATATTACATTTGCCCATCTAAATTTCACTTGCAGTTATCCAACTTGGAATCTGACCAGGACACTGTTACTTCCTCTTGCAAAAAAGGCCACGTGATCCCTAATGAATACAAGTAATCATGCTCTCGCCTCTGTTTTTCACCAGGACAATTACATTTTGGTAGCACAGTATTGCAACATCAAGCCAAGATTTTTGGCTGTGCAGAGGAAATCAGAAATACATTGAAACTCCTGACCAAATGGCATATGCAGAGCAAAACCTGCAACTAGAGGGTGCAGAAGGGAATTAAGGACAGAGCCTAAGAGGCATCCCGTGATCAGAGGACAGAGAAGGGCCCTAACAGAAAATGGATGGATGGAGAAGCTAAACATGAAGAAAACCAGATCCCTACACTATTGGAATCGAAAAATTTCCTTGAGGCTAAGCCCAGCACACAGGTATAAAACACTTGGAATTCACAGAATCATATGGTCATTTTTTAGTAGTATTCTTGGAGCAACAATAAAAAAAAAAAAAACACCCAACCTAAAGCAGTATTACAGACATGGATTATTATGATAAATTTCTTTCCACATCATACTGAGTTAAAATATTCTCCACACTACAAATGCAGTAACTTCCATCCAAACATATTCTGATACAATTTATATATTATAGTTTCTATTTTATTTTTCCACCAGAAATTTCCCCCTTTGAATTGAATTTAATTGAACAGGAGATGAACCTACCAGTGGTCTCGGTGGTGTGAATAATAAAGAAGACCAAACCATGCCCTACAATCTTTGTGAAGTGACACGCTGGGGAAAGTGATGGACCAATAACCAGTCGTCTGATTACCAGCTTAAAATTAATTAAAAGAGATTCTTGAACAAAAACCATCTTTTTTGCCCTCAAAAAGCGCCCTGAAGATGCCTGACAGAACAACTTGCAGCCAGAATCACAGCACTGCAACAGTGGGGTCTATTCCCGCTGCTGCATGCTTGCTCCATAGAATCATAGAATGGTTTGTGTCGGAAGGGACTCTGAAGATCACCCAGTGCCCCCCCCTGCCCTGGGCAGGGACACCTCCCACCAGCCCAGGTTGCTCCAAGCCCCGTCCAACCTGGCCTTGAACACCTCCAGGGATGGGGCAGCCACAGCTTCTCGGGGCAACCTGCCCCAGGGGCTCACCACCCTCAAAGTGAAAAATTTCTGCCCAATACCTAATCTAAACCTACCTTCTTCCAGTTTGAAGCCATTCCCCCTTGTCCTATCACTAGGTGGCCTCGTAAAAAGTCCTTCCCCAGGTCTCCTCAGCAGGGTTGTGGGTCCCAGCTTCCCAGCTCCAGAGGTGAGGCAGGAACACGAGCGCCAAGACCCAGCTGGGCCGGGAAATACGTGGAGATGGGCTGTTAACATTGGCTTGTGATCACAAGTAATACTCAGATGGAAAAACCAGTAAATAACAAAATAAACTGGTTGTGATTGCAAGCCAAAATTAACAACCCTATACCCGGGAAGGCCCCTAGAAAGCAGTGAGCACGATGAAATCCACTGTTTAGCTTTTTACTTCAACAAAGTTTAATGAATTATTCAGAAGCTCAGAAAAATCACTATGTCATGTTGAAAATGATACCCGATTATTTCCTCAGCCTATTAAGCTGCTCTCAAGTTGCACGAGTAAATCAGGAAGACTAGCAGAATGCTGCTGCTAGATAGCCAGAAAAAGCAAAATCTTGTCATGAAAAGGAAGCTTTACATCCACCCCACCCCCCCCAAGTTACTGAATGTCAAAATATTCTCGTTCCATATCCTGCCGTCATTTCACCTCTGCTTGTTTAAGGAATATCTGTATAATAAACCACTTTGTATGAACACAGTACCACTTCAAATAAAAAACAACAAAGGGGCTTATTCGGAGTTATCAAAGCTATTTGGTCTTAAAACCACTTCACTCTGCAGAATCAGTAACCTACTTTCACTTTGAATACACCGCCTGCTACCCTCAAGGGACCCGCAACTTTCGAACAACATTATTTAACAGTCAAACAGCTGCTCGAGCAAAGCCCTCCTTACACATTTAATACCATCAACGCACTACCCTACTACTGACAGTTCTGAGACAGTAGTTTAAATACTGCCCACGATATTGTAATAAAAGGTTTTTTTTCCCTTAAATTTCTAATCCCAAATGTAAGCAGCATTTGGGTGGTTTTATTTTTGCCTTTTTGGTTTTTTTTTTAATAAAAAAAAAATAAAGGAATCAACTTTTTCAAACCTGCTAAATAGCTTCGGTTCAACAGAGTGAATTTCAGGCATGCTACAAAAGGGAGCAATACAGGTTCTGATTAAAATATAAAAAGGATACACAGTCTCAAAGCAATTTTTGAAGAAGCTTATCGAGGCATAAACCTCAGGAATAACTGTATTATGAGCGTAGAATGAACACACGAGGTGCATGCAACACTTGGTAATCAAAGATCATACAAAAAAGGTTTGCAAGCCTACGAATATTAAAGGCGCAAACCCAGGAAAAAGTACAAACAACTTGCAGACAAATGTGTAGGTGGAGGAAGCATGTGCATGTGGGAGCAACACTTCATACAATGCTTTCGCTACTTCTGAAGAAAAACCACATTTCTTCACATTATCTGTACTAAAAATAGAACCATTTATAGCAGAGCGCACTAGCACAATTACCTGCCCCAACTCCGGCTCAACAGATGCCGTGGAATCAGCACAGACCAAGCGCAATATAGTCCAAGGTTAATGACTTTAAATGACATGTCCTTAGTTTGCCCTCGGAGAGGGACTGGCTTGACAGTCTGGCTATATCATATTTTCGTCTAACCTGTGCCAAGGACGTGCGATTCGGCTCCTGGCAAGCATCCACCAGAAGCAGACAGTGATGTAAAGCAAAAATACACTGCTTCTTCCAGCTTTTGTAATAAGTGAAGTGGTTTGCGCAGTCATTTCTGCCTCTCAAGGCTCCCTGTGAGCTACTGACCCCTGCGTGGCCCACAGCCGCTCGCCGGCGATCTGTCCCGCAGGGGCTGCCAGCTCCACAGATGCACGCTTAAACCACTCATTCTTTCTGCCTGGATGTCTCTGGTGGCTCCCAGAAGAGGAGAGAAGAGGCACTTCGGGGCACTGCACGACCAGCGATGACCCTGCCACTCCTCGGCAATGGGACACTGGCCTAATTTTTTTTTTTTTTCATTTTTAACTAGTTTAATTGCTGCCCACAGAAAGTTATCAATATTAGCTCTGAAAATTGCCATACGTTGGTCTAATTCGCTTTGCTGTAGGTTGGCAAGGCTAGAAGTATTGCAAGCACAGGGGTGATTTGTCCACAGACAAAGGTGGCACTGTATCAATTTATTACTTGGTCAACATCTGGAAGTTCCCCCACTCTGCCCAGATAGCCATAAGGACCTGAAAATGCCTTTAAAAAAATACCAAAGCCTCAATTCACAAATCAGTGGCATCTGCTCGTGGAAGTTTTACACGAACCATAAGGCAAAAGAGGAAGAAGGGCAAGAGCTTGGAGCTTGCTGCAGCTCACCTACTTCTTGCATGAAAAGTGAAAACTATAAAAAAGACATTGCAATAGTCAATGTACAACACTAAAAATGCATTAATTTATTAGCCATCTATTATTTTCTTTCATTGTTATAATACAGCCTTTCAAGACAGGCACAGAAGATGATTTTTTTGGTTTTATGAGCCATTTGTACTAGATTTCACCTCCAACTCGGTACAGTAGAAAGTTCTCGCAACCTTAATATAGCTCAAAAGACACCAAGACAAAATTGTTTCTCCAAAAGCGTACAGCACCCAACACGTGGGGGAACCTGAGCCCAAGCTAACATAACACTGCAGCACCAAAACACCACGCACCTTATACAAACATCGCAAATAATTTGCATCTTCCTTTACAACACAAGACCTACAACTCCACACGAGACAACCCCCCAAACTACTTCTTCCCCTCTTCAGTTCAAGGGCAGACAGATCTCAGCTTCACAGCAGCTTTTTAATGGATACAATCAAGAGGCATTGCAGGGAATGAATAGCTTTGCCACTGCCATTTAGGTATACAGACTACTATACATAAAACCAAGTTCAACAAGAAAGTTTGAGTACCTTGAAATTTAAAATATTCTTTTTCATAAAACAAGACTTCGCTCAGACTACAGTTAGAAAAAGTTAAAAAAACCCCAACTGCGTTATAGTTAAA